GCATTATTATTGCATATTTTGTGTCGCTCGCTCGCCTTCCCTGCACTCCGCACTTTCCTTTTTTTTCGCGCTTTACGTTAATGCGAAATTTATGCTTCATGCGCTTTTAGTTCAGCTCCCCTCCCACTCCCCACACCACCCCATTTTCCCATGGCTTGCATTTTTGTATGCGAAAATATTTTCGCTGGCATGCTGGATAAATATGCAGGTGTCCTCGCGGGCGAGGCTGCACACCCACCCCACCCAGATATTGATATTGACCGAAAAATATCATCATGGGGGCAGGGGGCGGCGGAAAACTTGTTTACCCTGGAAGCAGCGGGGCAAGAGAGAAACAGAAATAGATAAACAAATAAATAAATAACACGAAAGGAAGCTAACTTGGGCACACCCCTAAGTTTCCTACATTATTACACCCAGCCCCCCCCCCCAGCCAGCTTTAAGATATCGTCAGTAAAGGCAAATAATGGCAATAATAAATAAATGCAATGAGAGGGGAAAGTAAGTCAGTTATCCTGAGTGATTTCCCACCTTAATTCATTATATTGCTTCCGCTTTTAAAAAGTTTGATTGCTTTTTCCCCCATTTTACAGCCCCCCGAAACACGCAGAGTTGGCTCTTTAGAACACTTTAAGAGCTACACAGCTACAGCTTCACCTCCTTTTCCTTTCGAAGCTTAATGGCGCCCACTTGTCGTGTTTTATATGCCGATTTCATTTTTATTTGACTCGCCAAAGCGCCAGGGCCAAGTGCATGCTGTGTGCTGTCCCGGCCACATTGGTAAACTTTTCATTCCGCCACGCACAGGCCCACAACATGCTGGCTCTCGGGCACCTTTCTCCTTCTCCTTCTCCTTCTCGTCCTGGTCCTGGTCCTGGTCCTGGTCCACTTTCAAATAATCATAAAAGAACGGCTCTGGAAATTTATTAAGAAACTTGGGCACTAAAAATAGTTGCTAACATCCTCGACGGGGACGAAGGGACGAAGGCAGGGTGGCCAGTAACGTTTAAAATATGTGGAAATGTGCTCAAATATAATAACACCAAGGCGGGCTGGAAAATCCGGAAAATTCAAGTTATCCAGTATGTGCAATAACAATTAAATGAAAAACAAAATAATAATAATAATTAGGAAAGAGGAAAGTCTGGCCAAAAATTATTGAATAGAAATTGAATTAAATAAACGTAGAAAATCAGAATCTCACTGCACAATTCAATTCCTTCAACAACTTGCGCTCGACTACGGAATATCTAGTGGCCTGTGCAAGTTTTACGGCCGATTTTCCATGTCCGAGGGATTTTTCGGCCAAGGCACGTTCATTAACCCCTGGGCCTGGGGGGTCGACCTTCCTTTTCCTATTTCCTATTTGGGCTCTTCTTCTGCTCCAGCGTCCTGTGAAATCCTTTTAATGGCATAAACGGGTTAAGCATTTTCGGTGACGTAAATATGAACAGCAGTGTGTGTCCACGACGGCTTGTCTGACATTGTCTGGTTTATCCGTTTCTGTATAAGCTTTCTTCCTCTGCTTTCGGCCAGGAGTCGTCGTTGAGCTTTAAGGCCTGAATTTCAGTTATGGCCAGGACGTGAGCACACACTGTCAGTGTCTGTGTCTGTGTCTGTGTGTGTGTGTGTGTGCGTGTGTGTGTGTGTATGGCCAACAGCAACACTCTCCTTGGCCAGCTCTGCATGTGTGCATTGGGCATTTTTCAAAATGGCAAACAAAGCGCGCGTGACAGGAAAAAACGGCCAGCAAATCGTTCACTCAGCCTCAGAAAAACCCAAAATCCATTTCCCGCCCACCCACACACACACACACTGTTTGTTTTTCTTAAAATTTCCAATTAATCAACTTAAAGTGTCCGAGCAGGAGCTTCCGAGTCTGAGCTCTTTAGCTTTTTAAGTACGAACGCCTACATCCTGCAGTCTTCAGCCAACAACTTAAGCCTCTGTACACTGAGCAAAAGGGTATAGTTGAGGCTCAAGATTATTATTGAGATTTTAAATTACTATACTTTAAGGGGTTTTAATTTATGGAACGAGAATATGGTTTTATATCAAATAATATATATATAACTTGATGTGCTTAAGAGAACGTATACAGACAGGCAGATCTAGAATGTTTGGGAACTCGAGAGCAAGCAAGAGAGTGCCCTCTTTCTCTCAATCTTTCTTTTTCCCTTTGGCTCGAGTACTAGGAAATCGTAAGGCGTTACGCATCTTATTCTGAATATTTTCTTATATTTATTTAGACCGATTTCACATCCTTGATTGGCTTGACTTTTCCCCACAGTGCAGCTATTATTATCTGCCCACTTGGCGCATTTTTCAGATGAACGGAGACGTTCTCATATGCTGGGCTCCACACATGTGCCATCAACGGGGGGGCCGGCAGCTGTAAAAGGGGTTGTCGGCGTTATTTTAAGCCACCCCTGCACCCGAATACGTTGAAGGTGACAATTGTTCATTTGTTTGGTCCTTTGTTTGTCCCCAGCAGCTGACAGCTCGGGTGCTTTGTGAGCAAGTGGTGGGGAAATAAAGAGAGGGAGATATGGCAGAAAGGATGACCGGAGAGAGATATGTACGAATGTGCGGCTAATGGGTCCTTTTTCTTTTTCAAATTAACGTTCGTTCGATGCGATTTCAAACAGCTTTGTGGGGTTCATCATCTAGCCCTCAAAGCTGCTAAAGTTCATTATGGAAATTACTTAAAAGCACTTGTTAATTTGTTAAGTGAAACTACTTATAGCTCCTGACTATTGCAAGTGACTCGGCGAAAGTTGCTAGCTAAATCGGAATTAAGCTCCTCTCAACACTTCCGCTGCTGGCATTGAGTTGGGCATCGAAATCCTTGCAATTGGTGATTTGCGATTGAGTTCCGCTCCCAAGGATGCCCGGGCACTTTGGCACTGTGGTCAACACAATCAGGATGTAGTCATCGCCAGCTGGCACCCCCATGGCTCACCTCCGCCGGTCGTCCCGTTTTCCCCGCCTTTCACTGAGTTTTTCCGGGTTTTTACCGAGTTTGCTTGAGCTCTCCCCCCGCTGACATAACTCCGAAGGCACTTGCTGACACTCATTGAAAACACAAACTGTATATTATGCCACTGCCACAGTTCTCATTCTCCTTCGGTATCCTTTTTGCCTTCTCCTTTCCCTATTTTCCTTTCTCCGGCCCCTTTTTCCGCCTCTGGCACTTGTTATAAATCACAAAACAAGTAAAAACCTAAAATGATCTAACAAAATGCTACTCCGAGCATCGGAAAAACTCAAAGACTGGAAACAGTCGCCCTGTAAGGTCGGGGGCGTGGCCGGCGAAGGTGAGTACTTTCGTCCCTTCGTCGTTCGTCCTTCGTCCCTTTTCTGGCCAAAGTGTGCAGCATTGCAGAAAATATTTCAACCAAAATGCTGAGGCTGAGTTTCCAGGCTCCCCGGGCGTCCCTGTTGCCAGACTTTCACCTTTTTTTTTTTGGTCATTTTGGCAGTTTGTAATGCGGTCAGGATATGTTCGGCAGTTCTCATTCACTCAACTCATTTTTTGTTTACAAGGAAGAGGGAGGAACCAGCACAAAGCGACTTTAAAATGCCCTGTTATGCAGACTTGACTAGATACTTACGGCTGGAGAGGTTTGCCTGGGAAAATATAAATATTTTGTGAAAGCTTGGGGAGTCTATATTCCTTAAATCCAGAACCCTCTTAAAACAGTCAAGTCCAAAAATAAACCGTATTACGCCATGCATCTTAAACTTTATTTTGTGTTTCCTGACACATTGTCACTTTTCATCTTAAATGACTCAAATGAAGTTGACCGATTTTACGGCCATGGTAAGCACCTTCTCCCTGATGCAACCTACGTTTACAGGGCATAACAATGACCTCATTCTTGTGTGTATTTGTTGGTGTGTGTGCTGCATTTTCTGCTGAGTGCTGAGCTCCTCCCCCCCTGCCCCGCACGAACTTTCTCATTTCCCAGCCGGCAAAAGTGCAGCAACAAAGTTAAAGCTTTCCCCTGCTCTCGCTCCTATTGACAACTGTGCTGCTTTTGTGCCAAAGAAGATTGTCCGCGCGGAGAGATACACCCCCGCCCACGAGGCACGGCCACACCCCCCCTGAAACACAAACCCAAAGTGAGCAGCAGCCAAAATGCCGCGGGCTCTTTGCGCGGCTGCATCGCTGGTAACAGTGACTGCAAAAAAACATTCCACTGCGCCAAGCAAACAGCCGCCGGCCGAACTCTGCCCAGTTGAGGTTGCGGTTATGGAGGGCAGGAGGACAGAAGGGCAGCGGGGCAGATCGGAGGCCGCAGTAAAACAAATAAAATCAAATAAAACGCTTATTGCACTGAGTGGGGGAGAGGTCGAGGTCGAGCGGTTATGGAGAGAAGCGTAAAATATCTGGCAGTGCAGCGAATGATGTGTCCATCACTGTACTGAAAGGGGGAAGCGAGACTGTACCTAGTGGCTATGGTCACTTTAATAAATGCAAATGCAAATGCTTTGTTTCGAAAAGCCCAATATGTCGCTGAAAAGTCAAATAAAATGTATTCGTGTAACCGTTTCGCTCAGTTTTTAACGAACCTATGACATAAAAATATTAAAATTGCTCAATTTATCGATATATTTTGGATGCTAAATATTTTATTAATTTCATATTTTTCAAAAGAAAAATCATCGCTTTATTTTTGCCATGTTTTCACGACCCTTAAATTAGCCTCTAATGAGAACTCTAATACAAATTTTAAGTTTAATTTTAGATTCTTGTTTATATCACACGTCACGCTTTAAATGTAAACCAAGCAATTCACAACTTTCGGAAATGTAGCATTGGAATCACTTGGATTCAATGTGTGAACTTGAAATCACACTAGAAGATACAACTTTTGTTATCGATGGTATTTTTTTGTTTTGTGTTTATCGATTACTCAGAAAATGCATACCAATGCATTAAAAGTTTCATAGGAAGTGCTGTGTAGTCATCTTGCTCGCACTTAGGTAAAGCCCTACCCTGTGGTGCTGGCTACTCTGTAGCATCCGACAGTAGATGGCTGTATAACCTTAAAACATAGTACTCCAAAAGAAGCCGGCAAAGCTACATTTTTTTTTTTTTATATAAAAAACCTTCCGCAGTCGTTCTCGAAGCAATTGTAAGAAGTCAACCAGACACCTATTTCCATAATCTAATCCATTAACAAGAAAAATAATTGTGCACAACGAAATACATACATACAAGGTAAAGTCGACAGTAATCCGTACATTTCTTTATTCTTTTCGATTGAAAATCGCGTGTGTTATATTGTTTTCAGCATCGTCGCCATGAACAACCAGTCCAAGTTCAAGATTATCGAGGATGCAGTACGCATTGGGGGCAAGGGTTCGATGCGCCGCAAGCGCAAGCGCGTCCCGGCCGCCGCGCCCTTGGAGGCGAAGCGTCTGCAGGCCTCATTGGAAAAGCTCTCGATCTACCAGATGCCGGGCATCGAGCAGTTGACATTCTCCATGGACGACAAGTCCGAGCGGGTGATCCGCATGCCCCATGTACAGGGGGACACGGGAAGTAACCTGCTCGTGATCAGTGGCACACCCAAGTACGTGGCTGCTCCCTACCAAAAGGAGCCGGCAAAGCCACCGCGTCGGTCGCCGCCACCACCGCCACCGCCGTCGCCAGCTTTCTCCAATACTAAGTCCGTCAAGAAGCCAAAGAAGTCCCGGAACCGCATCCGGTTGCGCAACAAGTGCATCCGGGAGCTGCTAACGGCAGGTGCTGGCGATGCCGGTGAGAACATTGACCTGGGATCGGCAGACGATTTGTTGGACAGCCCCAGATACTTTGGGGTCGGTGGCGGAGATGACGATTCCGATAAAACCACGGTACCGTCCGCCGGTTCAGACATGGATCAGACCATTGTGGGTGACGATTTCCTGAATGAGTTCGATGTGGGCGAAGAGAAGGATAGCGATGAACCGCAAACCGGGAGCGAGGAAAATGACAATGATCAGGATGACGACGACGATATTGACTGCGAGAACGAGGACTTTCAGTTGACCGTCGACGACATGCTGTCATGCCTGGAGGAGAACTGAGGAAACCCAGGCTAACACCGCACAAGCAAAGTACTTTATACGTAAAAATTCCACAGAATGACACAAATTTTCATATATTTCTTTATATTTTTACGCTTTGGTTTACCCAATTACTGAGTAAATAAAAAGAAACAACATATGTATGTACAAATCGGGCAACGCTTGTCTTCCTGCCGAAATCTAATCCAATATAACAAGATGCGAAACGCCTGGAGATATTCTCAATTTTAAACACCGCCTGTGGTCTTCCAAAGCAGTTCTTTTCATTTTCCTGCCGCTCTTGGGGCACATTAAGGGCCAAATTCATACAAAATTAATTTAACAAGCGTTTAAGAGGAAATGCCACGCCCTCCTCCCGCCGCCTCTGGGTTATCAGAATTTTGGAACTAACGTTCCGTGGCCCGCCCTCCCGGCAAACTAATCTGGGCCTCGAAAATTGTACGAAATTAATCTGCACATAAATTAAGCATTAAAATTTAATATATTTGTTTATGGGGCCTCAAAGTGCGAGCGAGCACAAGTGGGCGGTGGGCGGAGGTCGATGCTTGAGGTGGGCGTGCCGGAAGTGTGGAATATCTGGAACGTAGCATGTGCACATGCCATAGGTGTGTGTGTGTGTGTGTGTGAGTGTGTGAGCTCTTAGTGGTAATAAATAAATAGCAAAAAGGTAATAAAACAGATAGCGAAAGAGGAAAACAAAGGCAAGAAGGGACTCTGAATGAGGAGTGACTCGACCATGAGTTACCCGGTGCTCAGTGCTTGGCCTACTTTGGATATATTTTGAGTTTAATGTTTATTTTATTCAAGCTGATGTGTGACTGTTGGATTTCTACTTGGTCAGATGAATCCCTGAACTTTTGAGGGTCTAAAAGGCTTTAATAGGAATCTGGCATTCCTTTTTTGCAACAGAATTACTCGGTATGGCCAAAAGCACAGCTGGAAAAGGAGTGTTGCTGGCAGAGTTGAACCATAGACTTGATGTTTACCCTACTTACTTTCAAAATCAATTTATCCTATATTTAGATTGATATATTAAGTAGTAATATTTATGAAAAAAAGGGAAAAGTTTCTGAAGTTACCAAAAATATTTATAAAAATTATAATCAAATAATTTAATCACATCTAAGACCTATTTAAAACTGAAAAATATTTTTTATAACAGTATTTACAAGTAAAAGTAATAAAAATATATAAAATATATGAATAATCCCTACATGTTTCTTATTTATTAAATATTTATCTAAATTTTTGGCTTCTCGCTTTTTGCCAGCACTGGCTCTGTGAAAGGATCCGGAGCTGGTCTGCGGGAAATGAAACCTGCCAACTGGTCGACCATTATCGTATTAGCACATGCCACCAGTGATTATTATGAGGTGACCTCCTCCCATCCCGACCGCCGTCTCTGCTCCTTTGTTCTTTGTCTATGCATGCGTGTATAATTAATTTTGCACCCTTACCCAGCACACACACACATGTGTGTTACCCCACATGATCAGCACCCCGTGCCAGGTCCTGTTTGAAAAGCAGCGCGCTGGCGAGGAACAATAGATAGCCTGCGTCTCCTTGGAGGAGGTGGTGCCAGGCCAGGCCAGGCCAGGCCAGAGGGGCTGATGGTATGATGCAAAAAAGACCAAAGGACTTTCAGTTACCATTAGGTCGCAACAATGCCCAGTCTAATTGGCCATAGTTTGGTCTTCTTGATCTGGATATGTCTATATCTGGTCAATTTTTCAGGGTCTTCCCTGGAACCACAAGACCCTGCTCAGCTGGTTTCGTTATGAAGGGACAAAGAAACTCCGATTACAAACTAAATACTGAAAATAAAGGACCTTCCCTTTCAATGCTTAAAGCAACGATTTGATGAACTCGGCGAATGAGCAGAATTGTCATTTCAATTTGATTACTATTGTCGAACATCATCTACAATAATTCATAAAAGAATGGCTGGATGGAATCCGTGGTGCCCCCCGCGGTCGGAAGATGGATGAAGATGAATGGGCCATAAGAACATCTCATTAGGCTGAGTGAAAAATAGTCTCTCTTGGCAGGAAAAGTGCCACACCTACTCGAAACGGATCCGATCCGGGGTCGTAATTTGCTTTGTGCTGTTTGTCGCCATTTCTGTTTGGCTTCTAATGAAATACGCATTATTTGGCAACCGTCTGGCAGGCGAATTTAATATCTGGCTATAGGGTTCCTTGGAGGCTCCTTGGAGGAGGCCGTGTCGTGGTCTTGGTCGTGGTCGCGTCGCGTCGCCTTTCATCCGCAAACGATGTCATTCATTTTCAGTCACATGTGTGTGCCATCGCCATCCTGGATCTCGACATCGGGGACATTGTTCTGCGGTCGCAGGACCTGTCCTGTCGCCCGACTTAAGTGTTTATTAATATCGACTCGTGCGAACCCGGACATGTGTTGGCCCCAAATTGACTTTGCCGTTACTGATAAGGTCCCGCACACCACACACACAGCCTGTAGTTATTGTAACAAGCCATTTGTGATTGTTATCCGAGTAACGAAGACAACAGCTGGTCACTCTACAGCTGTATCCTTCGGATACGTTTCAAAAGAAAACCTTTGCTCCATTATATTCCACATTAAATCGATTCGAAGACTCGAAGTCGAAGTCGAAGTCCAGGTCCAGTGGGTGAACAATTGCCAACTGTATTTAAGTGCCAGGACCCTCGTGAAATGGCAATTACGAGCTGTGCTCCTCGAAGCCGGTCACGGGGTCAGCACTTCTTGCTGAGTTCACCCTCGGCGAGGGCTCTTCAATTATGGTAATCTATTTTAAGGGCTCTTATATCAATATTTTCGAAATCTCTGGGAGAATGAGTTGCTCCTTGCAGCTTTCTGCATCGCCAGTTCTTCTTCTCTTTGCGCAGAAAACTTTCCTTTTTGCCGGGCAAAACAGGGACTTCCCCGTCGAGCCAACCTGGCCAAATGCTGCAGCAGGCTTTCAGACCTTGGCAAGCCTCCACGCCAGCACAGAGACACAGAGACCTACACTCACGTTCCACTGGGTAATGTCTTTATTTTGGAAATTGCTTTGCTATTAAAACAAAATAAACGACGCGACGCGCAACTTATAAATTTTGTTTGAAAATCAAGTGAAATAAATGCAGTGGCAGAAGGAAATCTGGGGCGAAATCAAAGAAGGAAGCGAGGCGAAAACAAAGGCGCAAGACAAATACACAAAAAAATATATATGTATATATATACTATATGCCGGGTCTGGTAAAAGGGATGAGGGTTGGGGGGCAATAAATTTAACTTTTAGCCGGGGCTGATGTGCTTGTGTGTGGACCATAAATAGCAATGCAAAAGGATCGCTGGCTTCGGACTCGCTCTTTTGGCGGTTTGCGACTTTTCACATTTTATGGCCAAGGTCCGGCGGCACACACACACACACACACACACACAAAAATGATGGCCAATTGTCTGCTGGGTGTCAGCTAATAACTGGAGGGGCAGTTGTTACAACCTCTTGCCCCCTATATCAGGGGGCTTTCCGTTTGATTGCTTCAGAAAATATATCGGCGCACACATAGTGCTGCCCCCAATAATTGACATTGCTGTCTGAATGAAAATGTGTCAAAGCCCGCTGGCAACCACCTCTCCCCTCAATTTTTCATTTTAATTTCCACATTAATTTTCAATTCAATTTCGCCGCTCATTGTCATCGATTGAAGGCAGCAGCTTGCCTCGGCTCCCTTTCTGCCCCTGCCGCCGAACTTGTCAGTGATGAATGCCCCGCCCGGGAAAAAGTTTCTCAATTATATCTGGTTCCCAATCTGATTTTTATTTATTGCATATTTTCCCCACGCCCCCCTCTCCATCTTCCCGATTTTTAAGGCTGCCTTTTAATAACTGAAAAACTCTGATAATTTTGCCAGAAACTTTTGCGAGGCTGAGCTAATTAGGGGCAAGGGCGAGGGGCTCTTGTTCCTTTGATTTGTGAAGGTTTTTCCTTTGGCTTTTCAAGTCCACCTCTCCCTGTTAGGGGACAGACATCCCTCAAAGGCTAATAGTGCCTGAATTTTTGTTAATTCCCGTACTTCCCCTGACTCCGTTTCTGTTGGTGTTGCAACAAATAAAGTTGCTCCTCTTTCTGCTTAGAACAAAATTAACTTTGGCCACGTATATGTACAGTACGTACTATATACGAGCACCTACATAGAGAACCAACCTCCGGCGAGGGAAGACCAAGCTAACAAATTGATAGCCAGACTTTTGCTCAGTCGACTTTTGCCTTGCACTCACAATGGCGGCGAAAGTTTTCATTATGCATGTGCGCCGAAAACTTGGCAAACAAAGAGCGCCAAGAGGAGCGTGGTCTAGGAGGGGGATCCAAAAGTTTCCCAGGCGAAGCTTTGGCATAATTAAAATGTTTATGCGTTTAATTGCAAATGATGTTTGGGGCGAGAGAGCTGCCACGCACGCAATGACAATTGGTGTATCAAATTTCCCACTTGCCACGATGCGATTTCCCTTCCGAATTAAAAAGGATAATTGTTTTGGGTCCGCTCAAACGGAAAATTGTCTTTAAAATTTAATCAACGAGGCGGGGGAACCACATGCGGGGTGCAAGACCCAAGTGGAGCTCGAGCGGCTCCTGACCACAGACAGCGAGCAGGTCCTGGAAGGGACAACTTAGTTAAGTGGCTTGCCACAGAACCTGGCCTGGCCGAGACATTAAACAGCTTGATTACCTGCAAATTTCCAAATCAAATGCGTGCCAAAACCGCAGTCTGTTTAGACACTAAAAAGGGGTTAGAACGGTGTCAGTATCAGTCTTTTAAGAAAATCGTCAAAACATAGAAAGCAATATTCGAGTGTATAGTACAGGGGAAGGAGCAATTTACAGGAGCCAGATCTGGTGACAGCATGGAAATTGTGCGGTTAACCTGGAGTGGAAGAGATGTGTGGCCCAGGCGCATGAGGGAATGAGTGCGGCTTCCACTGGCTTAGCTGGCAGGGACACACTGTGGTTGTCACATCTTATGAAGGACAGCTTCGCTGCAGCAAGCTCATTCAGCCATCTCAAGTTCCAGCTGTTTATAGCCACATTTTTTGAGCCTTCCATGTCAATGCCTAACCAATAATTAATTCAGCTGAAGCAGCAGCCCTGCTCAACATGGAAAATGTAATTTTTTGCCTTGTCCCAGGAGGAGCCGCTTCTGCTCACTTACTTGCTGCTTTACATTTGAATAGCTCGGCAAGTCTCCAATCAGTCTTGCCTTGAGACATTCTTCTAGTTCATTTAATGCAATTTGCTGTCATCGTCACCCAATGAACTCTCCCAGTTCTCCCAGCTCTCCAGGTCCCCACCTCCTCGCCACGATAGGATCTGTATTGTCCTGCCCTGCCCTGCCCTGCCCTGCCCTGCTCCCAGGTGCCGTCCCTCGGCTGCTGTCTTATAAGACCCTGTTATCTTTCAGCTGCAACAAGCCAAATAAGCAAACCACCAGACACAACGGCAGGTACAGATATTTGGTTGTTTCTTGTAAGGTTGTGTATGTGTGCGTGTCCTGTGCTTGTTTGTGTGTGTTGCAAGGACGAAAACACCTGCCCGTTGAAGGTGAACAAGAAAGAGGCTGGAAGTGAAAGTAGTAGCGACCAGCAATACCCTGGGAAACTTGCGAGTTTGTAAAGGAAATGTAGCATTTACTTAGGCGTGAATAGATCCCTAAAACCAAGGATAGAAATACCCTTTTTTAAGGGATTTTTTCCTTTACCTTGAGCCTAATATACCCCTAAACTCTATGAACCCTGGGTTCGAACAAGATAAAGCAAACGTCTTGAAATGACTTCATCCCCGGGGACTTTTCGACAGCGCCAAAAATTTGTTTACGCTTTTTGTTGCTACTGTTTTAATGTAGAACCAGGACAAGGACCAGGACAAGGACCAGGACAAGGGTGAGGATGAGGGCGAGGACACGGACCCGGGCCAAAGAATAATTATATTCCTGGTCGTCGGCTCATCTGACGAGAGACGAAAGTTTTGCGCCTTGTTGTATGTACTCCCTGTCGCCATATCCATGCCGAAGGCTGAGCAAACAAAGAGCCCGGCAAATAGAATATGGAAATATCATTTAAAATGCGCTTAATGGGCGGCTCCCAAATGAGTTTGTCCTTTAAGCGGCTCTCCTTCTTTTTAGTTGGCAAGTGGAAAAGCTAATATGGCAAATATTTGATGTCTGTTTGTTTTTGTCCTCCATTTGCAGGTGGAAAGCGCGAGCAAGGAGCCCAAGAAGGAGCAAGAGAAGGTGCAGCCAGAATTAACACAAAGGTAAATTTGCCCTCGGAACTTTTGGTTGGGTGGTTGGGTTCATGGGTGGTTGGGTGGTGAGGCCACACTAAGCACACCGAGCACTCAAGGCCCCACAAAACTGTCATGCACTTCAGCAATGATCCGGCTAAGCCACTTATTTTAGTTTTAGGCCAAGTTGGGGAGGCCACGAGAGCCGGAGGCGATCCGAAACTGCAATACCCTTCGATGGTACATAATATCCTTGAATGTTGTACCTATTTATATTAAAAAAAAATAGATTAGTTATAATATACCTAAGGGTCCTGGCAGCTATTTGTAATGGGAAATAAGTAGAAATAGCTACCTTAAAACAGCCAAGGACCCTAGGACACGGCAGAGTACATTTTTTATATACTTTATGTATATTCGAGCAGGCTCTCCTCTCAGGTTCTCGGATTCATCCCCGGCTCCCGGATCCTTTATTCCTGCACACTATCTAGTCAGTCAGAGGCGAGTCGAGATTCAGACGCTTAACGAGCTACACTTCGCGATGGAAAAACTACTTTTCCGCCTGCCCTTTGCGCTCTTCCGCTCTCTCTCTCTCTCGTCCAGTTTATACCTTCTTTCTGTATGCTAAGTGAAATTTAATGCTGTGGAAAATTGTAAGATTTCAGGACTAATATTTATTTTAATATTTTTATGCCGAGCTGGGGCTGAGCTGCGAGAGGAGCTCTCCCTGGCTTGCCTGTCCCTGGCCCTCGCTGTGTGCGCAATAATTTCATTTGCAATTTCCCATTGCTGACCGAAATTAACACACAGACACAGAAAAATATACATACATACGTGGCCCATATATGAAATTAGTTTTTCGGTTAGCTTCTATTGTTGTTCGTGTGTGTGTGTGTGGAAATCCAAATTGCGAAATGATATTACCACAATATTACAGCTAGTTTTTCATTATTGCCCAAGTGGCTGGGGCACGTGTGGAAGACATAAAATACACAAACATAAATGCTCAAATGATCGCCCGGGAAAAGCGCCGCAAATTTAAACAAACAGCCAAACGTTTTTCGGTGCCAGTCGGGCTTTTCCAAATTGGCTCTCCTCTCTCCCGCGGAAGCCAGTCGCTTATGAAATTCTGGGCGGCAAATGGAGATGGCTAATGGCCCGTGGAAACGTGCCTGACTGCGCTGATTTGATGGGGAATGAGGTTGGGTCTCGTGGATTTCCCCAAAACCAGGCAAACAGTTTTACAAATCTGAACGGTTTCTATCTCAGTTTCGGCCAGAATGTTGCCTTCTTTCTTTTAAATCAAGTGCAGGGAATCCGATCCCCCCCGCTCTGCCTGCACCTTCAACAAGTCGCCAAAACGCCAAAATCCAATTTGCCACTAAGAAAATTCCATTAAGCCGGCTGCCTTTGCATGCACTCACTTCACTTTCGCCTCTCATCGGGTTCATTAGGGCTGGCCGGGCACAATAGCCACTGCCACTGGCATGGCTCCTGCTCCTGCTCCTGCCCCCGCCACTGGCACTGCTCCCTGCTCTGGCGCAAATTGCAAGGTGCATGATGCATTTTATGTACATATGCATTACGTATACGCCGTGTAGTCGCGATGCAATCACGCCGAAAATTCGTTTCCATATATTACACAAACACAGCGACACGCGATGTAGGCGTACACTTTGAGAAACGTAGTATTTAACTTGGCTAGTTTACAATGGTGATTCTCGGAGAGGGTTGTACTGGTGCTAGAAGCAATTAATTGTAAGTGTTTCTTTATGAATAGCAGCAGATGAGCTCCTTAAGCACATAACTTGAACTGGAGGCCTGCTCTGTCAAGGATTAGGAGGCTAAAAGGATGATCTTTCCGGGATTAAGAATCCGAAAGAGTGCTGGTTTCGCTGCAAAATAAATACTTAATCAGTTACTCAGTTGATTTTGGCTATTCTTTATCAAGGCGAGAGTTCTTCAAAGGTTAGGTTAGGTTAGTCCGGACGGCCCTCGAGGGGCCACACATAGGCCAATATCGCCCATAGCTATCCGGGGAAACTCCTGGATGGACCCAGAGACTATTTGTGCGGGTTTTGAGATCCTTGAATATCAAGGTGTTTTTCGCAAAGGCAAGGAGTTCGTCTGGACGCATCTTCTAGCGATGCCAGAACTGGAGAGCCTAGGTATCTCATTTTTGCCCTCGTCATTCTTCAAAGAAACTTCTACAAAAAAATTTTAAATAATATATTTAAAACCTCTTAAAAAATCTCCCTAAAAGAAGAAAAGAAAATATTACCTTCGGAACGATTTAAAAAACAGAGACTAATCAAAGACAAAGGTAATTAACTTAAGTTTCTATATATACATATAGATATTTTTAGTTAAAAAATAAACTATATGTTGAAAACCTTGTAAAAATATCCTAAAAAACAGAAAAGAAAACATGAACTTCGGCTGGCCAGTAAACTATCAAAAACAAAAGTAATTAGGTTATATTTTTGACATATACTTACCTCTAAACTTCCTTTTTTAAATCAAAGATTAGAGACCCAGAAATAAGTGTAGAATTTCTCCCAGTGCAGGCCTTGGTGCACACACCCATATACTATAATACAAAGGCTGGGGAGTGCAATGCACCGAGGAGGGGTAAAATGCTTTTGATTGTTTGGCCCTGGCAGTTATTTATATATATTTCTATTGACTCTACATTTTGCAACAACAGGCGCTGGGCAAGAGAGGGGGTTTGGTGGCTAAAAGGCAGGGGGTGTTTTTTGAGAGAGGTTGCCACACGCCCTTCTGTGTGGGCAGCGCTCCATTTCGCCATGAAGGTGTCTCCTTCCTCGGTCCAGTCCTCTCTCCTTTCAGCTACTGCGAATCCCAGCTCTTGTTCTTCTTCCTTCTCTTCCTTTGGGCTTTTTGGTTGGGTAGTTTATCTCTTGGTGTAAAATGCCAATTTTTGTTGCCGTTTGCGTTTTGTGTGTATGTGCGTGAGTATTTGGGTTGCCTGCATTTGAGCCGCTCGCTTTTGGCGAGTTTATAATATTTTGCCCTGCTGTTGTTATTAGGTTTTTGCAAATTGGTTTACAGGCCGACAGAGGCAATAACAAAGGCCTGGTAAAATGGGAGTTACCAGTTCGGTTCGATCTTGATCTTCACCCCCTTGGGTGACTTTGGAGTGGCTAGCCCAGGTTTATTGGTCTTCTTTGCCTGCTTGCGCGGGGGTTCGGAGATTTTCCCAAGATTTCCATGCTTCAAGGAGGCCTCAGAGGCCTTGGCTGCAGCCGTAGTCTGCGGCTGCACATCATTTTTCGGATCGGGCTGTCCTCCTTCCTGAGTTTTCGCCTTCAGCTCCGCCTGGACAGGATTTTTGGCATTGTGCTGCTCCACTTTAGTTTTCTTTGCCTTGGGCTCGCCATTTTCGTTTCTTAACTCCGCAGCTTGTTCCACCGCACAGGCTGTGTTGGCCTGTTCGCCACTGACCCTCGGCTGTGTAATTCCAAAATGATGATCAAGCCAATTGGCAGTCTCCAATAAATTAAATTTGTTAAGCAGGAACAGATGCCTGCGCGAGATAGCGACGTGTTGTTGCCCTCCAAGCTCCGCCTGCTGGCTGGTCAGGAGTGTTTCTTTATCTGGCAGTCCGGCAGTCTTTATGCGTGGTTCCAGCTGCTCATTGACTAGTTCCACCTCATCGTTGATGCTGGATGGCACGCTTATTGTTTCAATTTTGATGTGCTGCAGCTCCGGTAACAGGATCTCACCCAGTTCGCCACTGTCTGTCTGCAGAAGCTTCTTCTTTTCATGGTTGACTGAGGGAACGGAGATTTCCCGCTTCAAGGCGACGTCTCTGGCATTGTCCGACTCTTGGTTGGCTTTGGGTGTAGCCGTTTCCTCATTCTGGTCGACCACCGTGGGCCTGGTCCGCACTCCAAAGGGAAACTCCCCGCTTTTATAGGTCTCATAAAGCTTGAGAAGATCACCCAAAATCTTGCGCCGATTGCGGTTTATCTTGCTGGAGCCTATCAGGTTCTGCAGCTCGTCCAACACGCAGTCTGCATTGATCGGCAGCACTGGCAACTCACAGTCCACAATTCCCACCAGGGGCCCGAGGGAAAAGGTCTCCTTTTCGGGACTTTCAAAGTCATCAATAGAGGCCGTAGGGAAGCCCATACGCTTCCAGGCATTGTACTTTTTGCTATATGACCGCCCCAAGTCGCTTTGGTACACCAGGTGGTGCAGCACCTTGGCACGGCACTGGGCTAGCAGGTGGCCATCGAGTTGCGTGGCCACGTATGTGACGAACGGAAGCAAAAATGTGTTTACCTGGGCGGCAGTGATGTCGCCATCGGCCTCCTTGGCCAGTTCCTCGAAGAAAATTTCCAGATAATGCATGGTGAGGCCACGGCTCTTGGGCTTTTCGGAAAGGACGATCGTCTGCATGCTTTTGTTGAATGCGCCGATCAGCTCCGCTGACCATTTAGTGTGCTTGAACACACGCAGCACGTGGCGGAGCATGCGACGAACGAGCATCAGCACCCACTTATCCATGCTCTTCAGTTTGACTCCCGAGTGTTCCTCGCTTGTGGTGCGCATGAAGGCACTGAAGTAGGCCAGGCTCAAAGTGGTGTTGCCACCAAAGCTGTCCACCATTTGTGCGGCCTGTTCAACCAGTTCCTCTCGGTCCTGCGGCTTCTCCGACATCCGTATGGTGTGGAGCAGACCCTTCCAGATGCGCATCAAGTTCTCTTCGGGGTAGGGGAACGGGCTTGTGCCCCGCAGAGTGAACCAGTGGGGTAGGTGGCAGATCTGGTACATCCGTTCGGCATTGTTTTCACTATAGAGGCAGCCGATGATCTTGTCCTCTTGGGAGAGGAACTTAGCCTCCTTGGGCACCTTCGCTGGTGTTGGCCCCTCAGCACTCGCCTGGGCGCTGCGCTTATTTTGCTTTTTGCGAGGCATTACAGTTTGTCTAATTTAACTTAAAAGTTCAATCGGCGAAAATTAATATTAAATTAATGACAGCAATCCAACCAGAGTGACCCTGCTTTGTCGTGAAGAACATATATCGAGTATCGAGTACAAGTATATCGAGGAATCGATAATTTTTAGAGAAATCTACCGTTTTTACTTCCATAAGAATATTCCCATTCACAAACCGGGCAAGGAAATGCCTTGTCTACATCAAACCAGATCTTATTTATAAAGGAAACAAATTGATTACTCGTTGATCTATTGATGTTTATTTAACACACCATAAAAAAATGAATATATTACGTATTTATTTGTTAAATAATTCTTTTCTGAGACAACCCAAAGCCCTTAAAAACACTCAGCTTAAAATACAAACCTTTTAAATGGAAACGTGAGCAATAGTATAGTAAAATAAAGCTACACTACTATTTTTAAAAACAAATTAATTTGATTTAGTTAATTAAAATATTAAAACGCAACAAATATGTAAGTATTTGAGACCACTGGAAATGCAAATAAACAAATGTGAATAAGCTTATGGCGATTTTATGCTGCTTTTAAAGAAACAATTGAACTACTGAAAGATATTTAATCACTTTGCTAACTATTAATAACAACCAAGTAAAATGTTTGAGCAATAAATATATTTAGCCTTCCGATAACAAAGCTTCTGCAAAGAGCTTGTGAAACGTGAAGCATAAAAAAAATAAATCGTAAGATTTAGCCCAAGTTGAAAAGGAAATCCTAAGGTGTACAGCGAAGCAGTTTGTATGTATACTTTTATTTGTTAAAAGGTTTTTAAGTAATAAATGACTACAAAGTTTAGCACTTATCGATATATGTATATTGTACCTTTATTTATAAATTGCAATTGCATTACGCATTAATGTTTCATTTTTTGTGTTCCAAATTTGTGAGAATTGCCAGCTTAGGCGAAAATGACAGTACAGATTTATTTATAATATAATAATTTATTACTAAGTAATATAATTGATGGCTTTCAAGATTACTTATGATAATTACAAACCTAAAAAGAAAAAAGGTAGGATTAAAATTAAAAAACAAGCTTCATAATTCCTTAGAACTAATATGTACTTATATACATTTAAGCTTTTTTTGTTTTGTTTAAGTAGCTATGTATAAATCATTTATAAATTTTTACTAATAACATAAATATATATTTTGTTCAATAGGAAATAGAAATAAATGAACAACTGCAGCAATTTCAAGTGGCATTAAGCTAAAAAGCTGCGTCGCTTCATTCCCAATTATTCCAATATGTACATAAATATATGCTATGTATACATACGTACATAGGTATGCATGTATGCTATGTATACATCCATAGATTATGTACATCGGAAAACTAATGAATATTGGCTTATTTCTTTGTTTCTCCTTATAGATATAATATATTCTTATTTCTTAAATAACTGAGTAAGCATATATGCCAATTGCAGGGAAGTTCTACCGAAAGCTCTATCCATCCAAAAATTTTCAAGTTAAAATTCTTTAAATTCCACAATTATTTCGACATCGAAGCAAAGAGATAAACAAACGTACATACAATGTCAAGGAACAATGGCAAACGGGAAAATAGGGGGGGAAAATTGGGGAAAAATAGGGAGAACCGCGGCAAATTGGAAAAAGTCAAAATCGAGAGATATATGTACATTCATATGTACATATGTATGTATGTATGTATGTACGTATTTACATACATGTGCAACCGAATGTGAATGTGAATGGGAAAGTGGCTGTGGCTCTGCGGCTGTCTGTGGGAATGCTTCCAAATGACAAACATTTCAATTAAATTCCAATTTGAATAAATTCCTAGCAACCAAAAACAAACTCCGTTTAACGTCTTCCCTCCGAAAAAGTCCAAATGAAATAAAATGAGGAAAAGCGAACGGAATGTAACAAGCAGAAAATTACATCAGCGACTGTCCGAAAGTCGAAGGAAAATGCCAGAAACAGGAGGACAGCACAGTGGGCATCAGTCGGGGGGCTATATATACATACATATATATACGTACATATGTTTGTAAATATGTATGTATGTAGCTAGAAAACGCACCAGCATCAGAAACTAATTAAGAGAATTGCAATTGACAATGAGACGAGACAGGAGCGAAGAGTCCTGTCGCATAATGAGCTCCGGTCTCGGGGTTTCGGGTTCCGCGTTCCGGAAGAGCTACAGTGATGGCTTAGATGAAAGTCGGTATAAAAGGAGAGTGGATTGAAGGTGAGGGTTGCTTCCTCTTTAGCAGATAAACCCTTTTGCCCGATCAGCAACATCAGACAAAGCTATCTAGATCTTTCTAGAATATATATGTACATATATATTCCGGAGCTCCCTCGAGCCATTGAATAAAAATTTAGGAAAATCAGGGAATATACATACATAGCTTTTTTCTGTATTTTTCTCTTCTTTTTGATCATAAGACTTCACAATAGTATTATGATTCCCCCGAAATTCTCACTTTATACCCATGAAAGTGAGTTTATATTCAGAAAAGTCTCCTCGATCCTTTCGCTAAGCTGACATGCTTCACATTATCGCCTGGCATAAATACCATAAAAAGCCACTGAGCGTTGAATCAGAAAGAGATAGAACCAGCAAGAGAAAGAGATAGCAAGAAAGGGAGAGAGAGATAGAGAGAGCGAGACAGAGACCTTCTATCGACCTCAATTCAGGGGCTCCGGCTTCAAATGAAATTGTAATTTTATACAGTGGCAATCGCCAAGTCGAGCTGCTCTGGGCCGGGCCAAAATGGGAAAGACGAGCCGACGGGCGGAAAACTTGCGGAAAAATGAGGGAGGCATTGCTGTAGGAGGGGGGCGTGGCACCACACACCGACCTACGTGCTTGGCTAGGCTCCCTGTTTGTACGTGACAGGCGAAATCTTATATTTCCTATTTCTACCTTTAATTCTGGAGGTCTCTTCTCCGCCGCCTGGCACCGCCTTCTCTGATGACCACAATTTGTAGTCATTGAGTGTACCTGAAAAACCAGATTTCTCACACAAGGAGAAATGAGAAAAATCCTTGGGCGAGCCAAGAGGAGAGAAATGAGAGCGAGGAGTGAAAACGAAAACGAGCCACTTGTGTTGTTCACTTAAATAGTTGCAAGTTAATTAAGTTAAAATATGGCCAAGAACACGAAGGGAGCTGGAGATAGAGACAGAGACAGAGACAGAGAGAGAGAGAGAGAGAGAGAGAGACGGAGAGAAAGAGATAGACAGTCGGAGAGATATAGAGAAAGAGCGTGCCTATTAAAGGAAAGTGCACAACTTGAGAGACAAACTCAGTTACAGTTGGCGTTCGGGGCAACGGGGCGTATGTGTGCTATGTCCTTGTCCGTTGACTAATAGCCAAGATGTATTTAAGCAGGACACATTTCATAGCTACAGGACTTTTTCCTCCAGGCTCTAGTGTGTATGGGTGTGTGTGTGTGTGTGGCCTGCATTAGACAAATCATAAGGCGTAAACTAAAGATGATTGAAATGGAGAAGACACGGCACTCGGAGCAGGAGCAGGAGCAGGAGCAGGAGCAGGAGACGGAGACTGTGACCTGGGAACCAAGGACCTGAGAAGTGCAGGGGCCAGAGGCCAAACTTTTGACGCCAGACACAAGTGCTTGAGTTATCTCAGAAGCAATTATTTTATCAGGGACTCAAGGATGTTTCATAAAAATAAGGAAAAGGAACAACAAGACCTCTCTCAGGAGTAATCCATTGTACTTAGTCAGGTGTCCCTTTGGAGAGTCGCGGTTCTTATTGAATGATTAATTGATTGATGGGCTAGGCAACTGATATTTGAGTGCATAATTAAGGCAAATATTCGAGAAATATCTAGAACTTTGAATTAAATTCAACGTCTCTTTTTGTGTGCTTCAAGCAAATGCAATAATTATAAACAGTAACCTCAGATTCCTTCAGGGCCCAGGCCAAAGTTTCCCTACCATTTTTGTTCATTTTTATTTCTTGCAGCTTTAATTAGAATTTTCAGCAATCAATCTTAGAGGGTCGAGAGGAGGCGAAGGAGGGAGTACTGTTTTGTATTGATTAAAAACCAATATAGAGAAATATGCGCGAGGCGAAACTTTCGCTGGAGAAAGGACGAACTTGGTGGCAGCGCTGGCTTTCATCCCATAATTATTGAACTGAAACTTTCACCTGTAATGAGACACCCAATGCCGCCCAGCTTGCTGCTGTTTTCTAATTAGTTTTTAATACATTTTCCACACACACACACCCATGCATCGTTCACATGCGATACAAGCCGCTTACAGGGGATCAAAGTCACTCAATGACTAATTAGCATACACAAAAAAAAAATATATATACATATTTCCCAGTATTAGTTTTCAAATTTACCATATTTATATTTTAAATGAAAATATTTATAAGCTTTTTAATACTCTTTGGAATGAACATGAATTTATTTGGAACTATTACCTCTTAACTTGCATAATTTTTATTTCTGTGTAGCTCTAGAGCTTCACTTGAGGCTTGTGTGCCCATAAATAATGGCAAATGTTATATTTTATGTAGACTTTGCGAATTAATACTAATTTCTATTGCTGAACTGGCCACGCGCTCGCTTTTCCGCCCCCATTCCTCTCCGATTTCCATGGCATGTCAGAAAAGTTTTTCGCCTTTGTTTGTATATTTCTGTCTCTATTTCGCTTAGCTGCCTTTTTGAAACTGGGGGGGAAAAAACAACGTTTGCCATTTCGACAGCCGTTTGATGGCTGCGTTGCCCCCAGTTCGGATTCTGATTCGGATTCTGATTCCGAATCAGAGTTCTGCTGCGGTTAGCATTTTTCCCGCTCTCTCGTTTTAGTTGTTGTTTTGAGCCGCCATTGCGTGACAGCCATTTGTGTCACCCCCCCACCCCCCTCCGAACCACCCCCCCACTCTACTCCACTCCACGCCCACTCGAGTGCCCCCGCCTCTAGCCGAAAATTCTTGAGACTCTGAGTG